CGAGATTTCTATTGCCGTACAAAAAATCTTCGATGCTGCCAAGGTAAGATATATTTTCTTTTGACTAATGCAACAAGATTGACTGATTTCTTACTTAGTGTTAAGCGGTTCTGTATTTAGATCTAGGTCTTTGTTTTCATGTCCTGATCTGACGTTGAGTAATTAGAAGAGGATGTTTTCTCTTGACTAAAGACATCTTTTTTTTTTATCACTGATTAGTTTATTATAATCAGAGGGGTTTAGCAGCTTGCATAACACTTAATTGATTACTCAATTTATAATCTCTTTTAATAGTATGTACACATTTGATACTCTTATCTGGATATGTTATTGATGTAAATATATGTATTTTTACTTCAATATCCTAATGCATACTATGCATTTTACTTCAACATACTTGCTATACCTACTTGTTTTTATCTTTTACAATAATTATTTTCTTATTTTATCTGAAAAAAAACCAGGTGCCAATAGAATGGGAATCAGTTGATGTAACGCCAGTGAAAGGTCCAGATGGCAAGTTTGGTATACCACAAGCAGCCATCGATTCTGTCAATAGGAATAAAATTGGCCTTAAGGGACCTCTAATGACTCCAATTGGAAAAGGTCACAGATCTCTCAATCTTGCACTCAGAAAGTAAGCATCCCAGAATTTACTTACAATCAAGTATGTACATATATATGCGTAATTCAAATTAATTCCGCGAGATACGCGTAGTACTTATATATCAGTTGAATTTTTAAAACAGTGCAGTTGTCCAAAATAATACATGTATGCTTACATAATCGTAATATTCGTAATATCATGATAAGAGGAACGCGGGCGATTGTTCTAAATACATATCTTACCGTTTGCTTCTCTTGGAAAGTAAAATACACGTCATATCTCATTTATCTGTTTACAAATATTTACAGAGAATTTAATTTATATGCCAATGTGCGACCATGCCGATCTTTGGAGGGATACAAGACATTGTACGATAATGTTGACGTCGTTACCATCAGAGAAAATACAGAAGGTGAATACTCTGGTATAGAACATGAAATTGTAGAAGGCGTCGTTCAGTCCATCAAGTTAATCACGGAGGAGGCCTCTCGTAGAGTAGCAGAATTTGCTTTTCAATATGCTACAGATAATAATAGGAAAAAGGTACACTCAAAATATTTTCATCAAACGATGAAACATGAGTAAATATTTGACAGGATCAGATTGACTAAAATTTATTTATAGGTTACCGCTGTACATAAAGCGAATATTATGAGAATGTCAGATGGCTTGTTCTTGAGATGTTGTCGAGAAGCAGCTCAAAAGTTTCCATCGGTCAAATTCGAGGAGAGGTACTTGGATACAGTTTGCCTAAACATGGTGCAAGATCCAAGTCAGTACGATGTGCTCGTCATGCCTAACTTGTACGGTGATATTTTATCTGATATGTGCGCTGGACTCGTCGGAGGTCTCGGTCTGACACCAAGCGGAAACATTGGTCTGAACGGAGCCTTGTTTGAATCGGTATAGCCATTCATTTCGTGAATGTGTGAAGACGAAATTTTAAATTGAAGTAACTGTATATATTTTTTTTTTAATTTTATTTTACAAGATCAATTTTATTAACATAGGTACATGGAACTGCACCCGATATTGCTGGTCAAGATAAGGCAAACCCCACAGCGTTGTTGCTCTCTGCGGTGATGATGCTCAAGTACATGGGCCTCAGCAGCCATGCCAAGATCATCGAATACTCTGCTTACGACACTATCAAGGAAGCAAAGTATCTAACCGGTGATTTAGGCGGTACTGCAAAGTGTAGCGAGTATACCAATGAAATTTGTAAGAAAATTGCCGCGCAAGTCAAATAAAAGGCAGACACCTTTGTTTCATTTTGTCGAAATTTGAACTGCCAAAATACTCATAGAATTCGCGCGTCCGCGATGAAGGGACTGCTATTTTCTACCATTTGTTGTATCGCATACAGTTTCGTCTCCGCGCGATTAGAAATTTGTAATTGAAATCGACGAAATGCAAGTATCATTGAGTATTCTTTCAGTCATTTACACGTATGTGTATGCGTATAAATTTTCTCCCTTTCTAGATGTATTATCTCGATTTAATTTAAACAATTTGACCCGACCGATTTAAGATTTGTCAAGTTGAAATAAGTGCCGGAACGGCATTTGATTTAATTTCATTCATATTAAACGTCAAACACAATACGTGTGCCATCGTTTCTATCGACTTGATCGACCATACACGTTTCTGTAAATAACCAATATGATATAAACTGTTGAACATATAAATTGTTCAGAGAAAAGATCTTAATAGAGACTGTAAAGATTAGCCATGTAAATTAAATAGTGGGAATGCTGTATCATAGTTTTAAATAAAATTGTTATGCGAGACATATGTCTTACAGTTAGAGTAAGAATAGTTGAAAATATCGAAATCGCGCAGTATTATGAAAAAATAAAAATTTACAAAATTGATACCTACTTTATTCTATATCGCAAATTATTTTCCTTATGAGACTAAAACATTCTTAATAATTTATCACATTAAAATTTTGAGAAAATTTAAAAATTATTTTCAAAAAAAAAATCTCTTTTAGTTATCTCTATTACAATAATAGAGAGGCATATTCATATGTATAATAATTTTCACGCATACACGTTTTTCCTTGATCGTATATCGAAAAGAATAATAATTTTTGAAAGAGACAATCACAAAGGAAGGTGACGATATGTGTAGAAGAAAAATCCTTCGCAAATTATTTTCCTTATGAGACTAAAACATTCTTAATAATTTATCACATTAAAATTTTGAGAGAATTTAAAAATTATTTTCAAAAAATCTCTTTTAGTTATCTCTATTACACAATAATAGAGAGGCATATTCATATGTATAATAATTTTCACGCATATACACGTTTTTCTTTGATCGTATATTGATAAGAATAATTTTTGAAAGAGACAATCACAAAGGAAGGTGACGATATGTGTAGAAGAAAAGTCCTCGATCGTTCTTTGTACCTGCAAGTTGCAACATTAGTCGAAGAGGTGTATCGCTCCTTTCCTCCCCTCGCCTCGCAATGTTACCTTATAGCACTCATCCCGCGAACACTTGATAACTTCCCCCTACTTTCGCCCTCATCTCCTCGTCGTTCTTCGGAACGATATTGTACGGTACGGCGGTGGGATGCGCCGCTCAGGAAAACTCTCAAGTATGAGAAAAGTTGCTGGCCATATTTCACCGATGCGGTGGGGCTGGAAACGATGAAGGAAAAGGACGAGACGAGACGAGGAGGGGACCAAGTGTCATCTTCGCCGCTCGTTAATTCCTTTTGTGATTTATCGCGATCCGCCGCGAGTGAGTAATGACTAACTTCTCCGTTCAAAAATTCAGTTATTACATTTTCCTTTAGACGTAGATGTAGGATACGGCACGGCGTGGCGTCGCGCTGCTTTAAGCTTTTCAATGGTATTCGCCGCAGTATTACATTGAAAAGGAAATCTTACGATAATCATGCATGATGGTGAATGTTGGGGGGGTGACAAAAGACTCCATTCGTAATTTAAAATGTATCCTATTTAAAATGTTCCTAATTTAAAATTTCGTATTCTAAACAGAGTAAACGAGAGAGAGAGGTTTTTTGTTTTACATATGTACAAAACGCTGGTATTTTTTATATCTAGAAACGTATGACGTATATAGGTATCTTTGCATGTTATCGATCCTCAAACTGCACGACTCATGACATTATACATTTTAAAATGCATTTGAAATCCGGCAAAACACTCAATAGCGGCGGAATTGATAAACCCTCGTGACATTACGCTCTTGTCTGCGAGATGTAACGGCAATGCTAACGAGTTTGTACTTTGTATGTCGGTAGGCTGTGCGAGTCGATGCAAGAAGCGCGGGACGATGCATAGGCCGCGTCGCATCGCGTCGCGTCGCGTCGCGGCGCGTCGCGTCGCGGCGGGGAGGAGTCGAGCAGTCGAGGAGTAGTTGCACACAAAGGTCCGACACTCCCGGGCAAAGTGTGGCAAACGCGGCGCACATACATATTCAACGAGACACGAGGAGCTAGAGGACGGGGGTGCATGCACGCGTGCACGCGTGCATGTGCCATCGTAGTCATAGGAATAATAAAAATTCGAGGGTTGAAAATTATTTAGATTTATGCCCGTTCTCTTGTCCGTCGCGCCGCCGTCGCGTCGCGTCACGCCACGCCGGTGACGAGGCGCGATTCGATTCCGGGGAACAA